ATTTTTTTTTTTTTTTTTTTTTTTTTTTTTTACTAGAATCAAATATTGTTGCCTACATACATGTGGAAGGCAGGGATCAGGGCCTCTGTGTCTTTTGAGTTTCCCAACAGGGCCTGCCATGGTATATGGACACACAGCACAGCGCTGAGAGCCAGGCAGGGTGCTGTGATATCACTTTAAACAACTGATGGGCAGGCTTGAGTGCGGTGTCACTGCACCACATACTGCCTTCATTTTGCAAAAGCATCCAAGACACTGTTTTTTGGAAAACAGCTTTATTGAGATACAGGTGACATGCAACTGTCCTGTTCACAGTGTGCCCAAGCTGGTTTGAACTATCTGAAATATAAGAATATTTCCAAGAATCTGACATATATTCTAGCAGAACCACCTCTAATACAAGTTCAGTGCTACTTGTATGTTCAGGTTCTAGCCCAAGGCACCATGGGGTGAGATGAAGATCTCAGGTATTAACGAAAATGAAGTAAATCCTAATTCACAACTTCAGCAGGGCTGAAAAGACAAGAGTGCCCTGGTCCAACTCCCAGGAAGCTGAGGTGATATGCAGGCTCAGGCCAGGCCAGGCACGCAGTTCTCAGGCTGAGCTAGTGTGCGCACAAGTGATGAGTTTTATTCTTCTGCACAGTGTGACTTCAAAGTAAATCATAGGACAGTTCCCACAGAGGGGATGCAGGAGAAATAAGTGGATGGACTCCCCACCCTTCAAGCCCATGAGGTCTACAGGACAGGATTTATAACCACATAGTTACGAGCTTCACTGGCACCACCACTAGAGGGTCTTTTAATTATGAGTTCCTCTGCTGAATTAAAAATGTGATTTTATTTATACCTGTTTTTGGGCTCACACCTGTTGGGTGAAGTGAAGTGCACCTGTCCATGTTTTTGTGTATGGCAGAAAAGAGGTCTGAAACAAGTTCCACATCCTTTCGTTACAGTACTTTCTCAAGCAGTACTTCAGCCTGCGAAAGCATCCTCTAAAATGCCTGTCAGGCAGCAGCCAGCAGTATGCTCACTGGAGGCTGCTTTTCTGGACCCTCAAGAGAAAACATGGTGGCTCCTCAGTCACCTGCTAATCTTCCTTTTTCCTTCACAAAGTGCAAGGTACACTTAAGGCCAATACTCGCATCTCTAGCCTTCTCCTTTTTACTCAGGGAAACCAGATAGTTCTGGGTTTCAGTCAGGGAATGGGAGGTGAAATGCAGGAGAAAGTGCCTCCTCTCTGAGGCACTTTCCTAAGCAAGCCAAGAGATTAGGGTTTGGGCCAGGCTTTGTGTGACACAGTGTGCATTCGTCTGGCTGCATGATGATATGAATTACAAAATCAATGACAAGTTGTCTGCTCCAAGGTCAGCAGGAAGAAAGGGGACAGAAAGAGACAGAACAGAACTCTGGAGCCATGAGGCTAACTTCAGAAATATTGACAAAGCCATGGAAAAGAAGAAAAGATGGATGGTCACTTGAGTGTTCCATGATGTACCAAAGCTGGAACATTCTGTGCACAAAAAATACCACATGATCCACGTGTGGTGGCACATGACTGTAATTGTAGCTATTCAGGAGGCTGAGGCAGGAGGACTGCAAGTCTGAAGCCAGCCTGGGCAACTGAATGATACTATTTCAAAATAAATAAAAAGGACTGGGGATGTACATTCTCTGGGTTCAATCCCTAGTACTGCAAAAATTAAAACAACAAACCAACCAACCATACAAAGACTTTAAAAAAAGTATGCACACACACACTACAAACCACAAAATCCTACAGTATCAGTTCCACACACAAAAGACTCTAAAATGAAGCTATCTTAGTACACATCTGAAGTTCAGGAGAAACTTCTCAGAGTCAGGGCCACAGATTGTGACCATTCCTTAGAAATTGTGAATATTTATATTTTATCTTATTCTTTTCTAATTGAGAGCATTCTTCAAAGGAATCTGAGCACTTGCTCTCCTCCCAAAAGTTATAATAACCTACTTCAAGCCTGGGTGACTCATTTCAAAAGCCAGTTTAAGAAGCTTTTACATAATTGGTGATTGTCTCTCACTGTAGAATGTAGAAAAGTTTTAACCAAAGGGAAACCCTACACTTCTTCCTTGGTATTAGGTTTGGAATTCCAGAGATAGGGCCTGGAAGGAAGGGCTACGGGGTTTTTTTGTGTTGTTTGCTTATATGTTGTCTTTTAAGCATAATGTAGTCGGTTAGAGGCTGTTCTGAGTTCAATTCTGTCTATTTCAAGGAAATGCAAAACCAATGGAAAAATTACTACTGAAATTTTTAACAAGAAAACCCACTACCACTTAGGAATCACAACAGTAAAACTTTTTAAAATAAGCAAAACCATCTCAAGGAGGCTGCTTTCCTCAATAAACTGAATAGCCAGCAGCTTGCTATTCTGTACTCAGTTCTTAGTAACCCTGAATTAATCTAGATCGAGAAGAGGACTCCCTACCTAACCCTGTACTATCACAGAACACATACCACCATGCTTGAAGACAATTCTGGGAGAGGTGAAAGATTTCAAACTAAGACCATTTTGGCAGCAAATAAAGGATAGGATGGAAAAAAGAGAGTCCAATTTCTTACTTAATTTGTAGTAAAAGCCTTTAATACCCGGTCCGCCTGGGGTAGTGAGTAGCCTGATTGAGTCAGTGGGATTTGGATGTTGACTCCCTCTGAGGCATATCCAGACCCCTAGGGGACTGTTTGTTTGTTCAGGTTCCAACCCTGGGCACCAAGGGGTGAGATGAAGACCTCGGGTAACAACCAAAATGAAGTAAATTAGAAGCCTGCACAGCACTGCGCTGGTGAAACAAAAGATTGGGCACAGAGAGCTTTAAACAGTGCCTTGTACACAGTAAACACTCCAAAAATCTTAACTACTGTTTTTATCCAAGGCACCAAGGCAAACTTCCTGCTTCCGGGTGCAGCCAGGCTACACAGTATAGCAGCATTTGAGTGGCTTTTAGCTGCAGAAGAGCCGAGATTACTCATCCAGGGGATGGGGCTGGGAAGAAGAGCAGGCAGGCCACCTCTGCCCCACTTCCTTGAAGCTCTCTTGGATCACTCAGTTCAGGCTCCATTCTGCCCCTGAATGTTCAGGCCACCAAATTTAACCCTTGCCCTTCCTCTTGTCTTACATGGTGACAGCTCGTTAAAAGGGCCTTAAAGCTCATGTGAAATCATCCCCAGTGGTTGGCACTTGGCTGTTCAGAATTTGAAACATTCTCCCTGACCTGGCCAGGGCCCTGAGCCACAGGAGGATGGCCAGAGTCCAGAGAGGGACGCTATGCAGATAAGGGAGGACCACCCAGCGGGCCCCTCGATGGAATCAGAGAAGCACCCAGGCCTCGGAGTTCCCTCCTGCCCCCTTCTTTAGGAGCCGCTTTTGTTTCTTCGGAACAGGAGAGGACATTCAAGCTCACCTCTGCAGCCCGGCACTCAGCCCAGCCTGACAGCACCGAGAACAGAACAGTGGGGGTGTCTGAGATTACAAACCCAACCGCAGCAGGCCAACTGCTTCAAAGAAGTTGGCTAAGTAAGGAAGGGATTGTTTACAACTTCTGAAGAAAAATACCCAGCAAACAAACAGCCTGACTCCTAACCATGACTCATCAGAGAGCCGCAGGTGGCCGCATTGGTCATGTGTGTGCCTTAGGCCTGCTGAGTGTGCCAGCTCCAGCCCAGGTGTGAAAGGGCAGAAAAGGGGAGGCACAGCATCAACCCCCTCCCCCAATTCAAGGGCAGCACTGCGACACAGCTGCGGGGACACCGATTCTAGAGAAAACCCGAACTTTTACACAGAAAGAGTAGGGAAGACTAGCCCACTAGTCCTTAGCAGTATGGATGAAGAAAGCTTGCTTTGACTCCCACCTTTGCCACTCAGTGGAGGGGAACAGGTTAGGCATGACCGTAACAGACAACAGGTGGCCTTTTACATTTTTCTGTAAATTACCTGATTTTTTGTGAATGAGAGTTCTTTATAGTGCTCCCAAACCCCGACTGCCTCACAGCCTCTCCAACATAAAGGTTAATACGCTCTTGTCTTTCCTGACAGCCTCTGGCATTATATAATGTTTCTCTCCATTGAGAGACAAAAGGCATCTGCTGTATTACAAATAACAAATAGAAGGCTTGGTGGTCAGGCTGCCAAAAATAACCACATTTTCTTGACACTTTCCTTATAATTGATCGTCAAGTCTTCATCCAAACAACCACTGGTAAGTCTCAGTCGGTGGGAAGCTGGCCCAGTTACAAGACGCCACACTGCAGTCACTTTAGGGTGCAGTGGCCATGGGTGTAACCGGGCACACGGGAAGGGCTACCTGACCTCCGCAGCCCCAGCCCAGCGGGCGCGACTCGGCTCGGGGTCCGGGCGGGGCTGGCGGATTCGCACCACTGGTGTATCGGTCTGCGCTGGAAGGAAGCTGGGCGCAGGCTCGCAGAGTTCGGACGTCACCCCGGTTCCCGGTGCCCCTCTGGCTGGCTGGCAGCACCAGGGCCAGGG